GGCCTGTCCCCGCCTGGGGATGCCGGTCCCACCACCCGCAGCAACAGCCCCTGCCCCCAGCCCCACCGTGACCCGTGTGGAGCTAGGGGGAGGGAAACCATCTCCAAAATCTGAGCTTAAACCCCTCGGAAGCTGGAGCAAATTGCAAAATACCCTCCTCCTCCCCCGCAAAATACCCCCACCGACACAGAGCAGAGGGCCCAGCCTGAGTATATGGAGGTTGCAGGGGCTGCAGATGGACCCGCATTGGCACCAGCTGCCGGGAACTGCCTCCTCAGCCTCCTTGTTTAGGGGCAAAGCAGCACCCTGCCCCCCCACCCCAACAAAGGGGAACTTCCACCCCCAAATTTCCCCTCGTTTTGGGGCCATTTTCGCACTCTTGTGCCCCAAGTCCACGCAGATTTTGCGTATGGCATCGCTCACAAACTCCAGGGGGAATGAAGGAGGAAACGTGGGATAAGACACATGGATGGCAACCCCGTGAGAAGTATTGGAGGTATCGCCCCCGTTCTTCACCGCAGCGTTGGGGGAGCCCACGAGCTTGAGCCCGGATGCCTGGGCCTGGCTGCCAGGAACATTGCCATTTGGGAACCAACACGCTGAGAAGAGGAGGGAGGGCAGGGGGTGGCTGAGATTTTACAGCACAAAGATCCCCAATTTAATGGCTGAGAGGAGTTTTGGGACTTTTTTTTTGCCCTTAGCAAACCCCTACATAGCTGCTCATCTGCTGCTTTAAGACCCGACCACACAGACGTGCACTTTATGGGCGGATATTTTTTGCTTTTCTCCTTTCCTGCCCCTCCTGCCGCTGATTTTGCTCCCAGCCCTGACTCCGGGGACAGCGCCAGGATGAGGGGGGACACGAATGGGGCTGAACTGGCCTAATCGTGCACCCTGAGGTCTTCCCCGCCCACGGGCGCCCCGCAGCCCTTATTTGCTTCCCCGGGCAGCCCGCGCTCCTCCCTGCTCCCGCAGGGCCTGGAAATGCCGGGGTTGATGTAATCGGCCGAGCAGCGCCTGCCAGGAGGGGAAGTGCAGCCAACCCTGCGCCGCGGCCCCCGCGCACAGCCCTGCAGCAGTCCGGGTGCTCCCGTAGCATCCCCGGGGACGAGCATCCCACGGGAAAGCTGCACCCGGCTGCGCGGGGAAGGAGGGGAGTGCCCGGCACCCCCAGGCCTAGCCCAAGTTGTGGTGCCGGGAGGTGGGGTGGCCCTGGGCCGACACAGGCCGTGTCCACACGGGTCCCTACACCCACTAGATGGTGCCACAAGCCCACGCTTGCGCGGCCACCGACACTGGGTGACAGCAGCTTGGGGCGGCCTCAAACCCTGACACCCGTGACAGGGAGCTAAGAGGGAGGCGGATGGAGCCAGGAAGGGCACTGCAGCCTGGAGAGTCACCCTGGTTTTCTGCATCTGCATCCCCATCAGACACACAGAGAAATCCAGGCATGACAGCTGGGGATGGTCACCCAGGGTCCCCCGCTCTGCCCTCCGCTTTCCCCAGCATTGGACACTCCCTCCCATCTCACCACAGGGATTGCAACCCTGCTTTCCCATAAACCACAGTAATTACCAACATGGCTAATTCATTTGAATCCAAAGCAGTTAAATTATTTAACAATTTAATTGTCTTAATACAAGCCCTTTATTATTATTTTTGCATATATATATATACATATATATATATACACGCACACATGTTTTTAGGCAATTTGAAATAACTAGCCCTGTGTTGTGAGTAACCCGGTGTCACAGCCTGCATCCCTGGCTGAGCGAGCATCACCTTGGGAAAGGAGCGAGGAGAGGCCAGCGGAGCCCGGAATGGATTTGCTAGATTGGGTCTGCCCCAGCATAGGGTGGGGTGAAAACCACCCAGCGAGGAGCGTGTGTAGCTTCTGCACCCCAGTTCCTGCATGGGTAAAGCTGCCTCCGGAAGACACGGACGCGGGAGGCTGAGGAGCTCCGAGCGCGGCCTCCGCAAGGAGCGCCCTGCCAGGCGCCTGCTGCTCCTCCCTGGTGCTGCAGACCCTGCACCTAACCTGTTCGCGCTGTTGCTGTGATTGCTGCCTCCTCGACAGAGAAATGACCTCCTTTCTCGATGATCAAAAAGCTTTTCTCTCCCCAGACAAAAAGGGTGAAAAAAAAGAAAAAAAGAAAAATCAAGATTAAAAGAGAATAATCAAAACGAATTTTCTCCACTTCCGTCTGATCCATTTAATTCTCCAGCTACGCTCCTGTTGAACAATTTCATGGAGCATTATGCAGAGAAAGGCCCGCTTTATTTTGGAGTCAGCGGTTCCCCCAGCCTGCCGCCTTGTCCCGCTCCGCACGCCGGCACTTCTGGGCTTCGCCAGAATGTCCCACATAAATAAACCCCAACAAGCTGGAAAGGCCGCTCCGCTAGAAAGCCCTGGGGACAACTGCTATGAATTTGATGGGCCTCAGTCCAAGGCGGAAGGGAGCCAGGGCACTCAGAGAAGCCTCGGGAAAGAAATCGCCGTTGCAGCAGCCGCCATGTAGCTCGCTCGAACTCTGGAGCCAATAAGTGCTTTCGGCAGGGGAATGCATTTTAAACTTCATTTGTGCGCTAGCCTAAATGGAAGGCACTTTATTACTTTTATCTTCGCATCTCAATTGAAACACTCACCAGCTGGGTGTAAACAAGCCCTTAACTTCTTCTCTGCTAGCTGCCAACAGCCACAAAGGTCATTCGCCGCAATTGATGCCTCCAACTCCCCGCTTCCTGCTTTCACCTGCAGGTAATTTCCAAGCCAGGGAAAGGTGCATTTGTCATCCTGCCCTGCCGTCCCGGAGCCGGTGCTTCTGCGCCACAGCTGGCAGGAGATGCTCCCATGCATGTGCTGCCTACTGGACTGATAGGAAGGACTTGGACCGAGTCCTTGGACCGCCGTTCATGAGCTCTGGGTGCATCCCCAGCTGCTATGCCTGCATGAGTAAAGGTTTCCAGCTACATTGGAGTATTGGACACAGCAGGAACTTGGGCTCTGTCCCTGTCTCTGCTGTGTGGCCTTGGGTGAATCACCTTCTACGCCTATTTCTCCATCTTTGCTTAAATAACACAAAATTCAAGAGCAATTACTCATCTAAAAGAGATGCCTTCCGGCTATGGAGTGAAAGGAGGTCTCCTCTGATGGAATAGGAGTCGTAATTCAGCCCCAAGCATTCAACATGCAGAAGACCTGAACACTTTGCATTGAAAGAGCTTGTACATGTATCAACAGATAAGATGCCAGGGCAAAGCAGCACCTTCATGCACAGAAGTGAGTCTGACAAGACCTCAGCTAACAAAAACCTCTCAAACGCCAAAGTTGTCCAACTAGCCAGAGCAAAATACTCCTGTTTGGTGTCATTGCTATCATTGACTTGCCTTGAAAGGTCAGCGAAGTGATGCCAAACTGAGTAAATGCTGTGCAGTATTTCCAGCTGTCCTGAAGGCTCAGGTTTGTTCCCCATATACATAAGACTCGCATCTCTTAAGAAAATTTTCTCCACCTTGGAAGGAGGCCTGAGAGGAGACATTTTCAGGTCATCTCCCCATTTAATATTCAGGATGTCGGTTGTGTTTGCATATCCCTGATTTCTGCCTCTTTAGCAAGGGAAAGAAGCAGGGAGCTAGCACCAGTCCAGCTAGACCCTTTGCACCATCACTGTCAAAGGCCAAGGGATCCCAGGTCTGGGCCAGCCTTGCATGTCCGTGGGCAAGTTGGGCTTCCCTGCCCCACGCCTGACCCAAAGGTTGAGCTGCTTTTTCACAAACTG